CAAGTACTAAAGCACGTTTTGCAAAGGGATCAAATACTTATTTCATTCATAAAAATGCAAATTAATGTATAACTTTTTTTGTAATGCATTTTTTGTTATTGTTGTGTCTCTCACTGTTCACATAAACCTACCATTGAAATTGTAGACTGATCATTTCTTTGTTAGTGGGCAAACTTACAAAATCAGCTGGGGTTCAAATAATTTTTTTTCCCTGACTGTATGTATAAATCTCTTGTATGATGTCCATCCAGTCATCGGTTGTTGGTTGTTCAGGTTTCATGCATCTTCGTGTGACAACTATTTTGCTTGCGGCCAGTAGAATATATAGTAATTTCTTGTCCTTCTTATTAAACCCATCAATTACTATATTACCCAGATACATGGTTTCAAATGTTAATGGTAAGGTAATTGAAAATATGTTTTGTAAATGTTCATGGATCTCAGACCAGTATTTGTGAACAACTTTACAACTCCAAAAGATATGGAAGTGATTTGCCCCTTTGTGGTCACATCTCCAACAAGCATCTCCAGTTCCTTGATATCTTTTTTGAGCAGGGGTAATGAAAAATCTGATAATATTTTTCCAACAAAATTCGCGCCAAATGTTCGATTGCGTTGAAGCCCATTGCATCTGACATATGTGTTCAGGTAACTATTATTTTATTATTGATTCATCTGCCTTTTTTTTCTTGATTAATCAATTCATTATTACCTCCACCCAGGAGGTTATGTTTTTGGTTCTGTGTGTGTGTGGTTGTTGGTTAGCAGGATTACAGACAAACAATTGGATGGATCATCAGCATACTACACCCAGGACACAATCTGCTTGAACTCCTCCCCTCTGGATGGTGTTACAGGTCACTGTGCGCCAAGACGTTAAGAAGTTAACCCAGGACAGTATGACTGGACAATAACCCTCAGTGCAATACTGGTAAATATACACTGTACAGATTATACAGATCCACACAGGTCTTTATTTTTAAATACTCCATTTTTATTGTTTTTATTTTTTTATTTTTTATCTCCCTTCCCATTGAACATTTCTTTTTCTATTTGCATTGTTTATTGCTTGTTTATGCTGTTTATTTTGTTATACTATACAGCCTTATGTTGGTATATTGTTTACTTGGCCCTTGCTGTTGCCTTGCATGGGGATATGTACATGCACATTGAGAGGCGATGTACCAGAGTCAGATTCCTCATGTTCAACACACCTGGCCAATAAAGCTGATTCTGATTCTGATACTTGGTATAGATATTGTCAAAAATCACATACAAAAACTCATATCTCTGTCAAAAGATATCAAAATAATTGTTTGCTTGAAATTTGATACACATACTGTATGTAGGGTGGCAATGTATACCCCCAGACCATATGTCATCTGGATCTGACCCAGATTCTATATCTGATGGCCATTTAAAGTTAACATTAAAATTCCCATTTAACATATATTTTCTGCCATAACTTGGCGTAGAATGAAGACAGAACCCTGAATTGTTCAGGCAAGATGCACAGTATCACTACCTATCATACCCTAAAAGATAATCAGGATCTGAGCTAAATCAAGGATTTAAGGACACACTTGTTCTGGCTCTCATTTTTCACAAGAGACCCATTTGTGTGAGTGAATGTTATGCCTTGGTGAAGGTACATACACTCTCTGAGTGTTTACTCTCTAAAGCACCAGAAAATAGTGACAAATCACCATCACAATCAAAGCCGACATGTTCAAATATCTTGCTTTGTCCAACCAATCATTCAAAACCCAAAGATATTCAGTTTAGAATGACATAAAGCAGAGGGTTATAGGAATCAGGAATTACCTGAAAACTGACTTAATGGATTGATTATCTAAACAGATTCTGGTAAAAAGACGTTCAACAAGCTGGAATCAGGTTTTTCCGGTGTACACTGAAAACTGATTTGGCAATTGTGTGTACTGATTTGTTCCAGGAGATAAATAACTGGTAAAACAAGAACTGAAATGGCACAGAAAAGGTGGAGTCAATGATTGCTCAACAACAATTTTAACTGTGGAGCTGTGTCTGGGGACATTTACCTGATCAACACTGTTCAACCTTCTTCCTTAATAGCTGCAGTGGTTACCTGCAACACTGGCAACTGAATCTCAGGTTCTCTCAGACACTGTGTGAATGCATAAAGTGTAAATGTTGACAGATGGTACCTAAGCTTCCTCTGGGGAATTTTAATGAGCAAGAAAATCGTGTATAGTAATATTTCTGGACTGGATTCCCATGGGGCACTCAAGAGAGGAGACAGATTATACATGGCTTTAAAGGATTTGCTGTTCCTAATTTGTGTAACATACTGTAAACTGACCTTCATTGAGGAGGAGTGCAAATAATGACTGAGAAAACCTGTTGTCACAACAACTGTGAAATGAAGAACGACATTTCCCCTCAGACATAAAAAAATCTCTCCCTGTCTTGATTCACAACAGGCTGGACTGACATCTAACATTTTAAATCTGTCCTCACTGAGAAAAAGCATAATGCAGCCATTGAGCGTTGCTATTTCCAGTGAGGATTACACAATTCATTCTACAATTGCCCAGAGTGGTGAATTTAAAAATGCACATGCAAATATGAGAGAGAAATAAACAGGTATGTTGTAAGAATAGCACAGTGGTATCAGGGGAAACAAAGTCACTATGACAGCCACAGACACCCACTGGAAGGTTCGAGGAATGTCAGGAAATTTCGGGGATATCTGATGAAATACAGCTTGGTCAAACACTCACTTTGACGACGATGAATCTTTAAAGCAGTCGAAGCTGAGGGCTGCGAGGATCCTCCACAGCAGGTCCATGCCGCGTCATCTCATGGTAAAATCCAGATTTCTGCGACCTGCTTTCTGCCGAGCGTCATTTTTTTAAAGGAAACACGACACCACTGAGTCTCTATTATTTTTAAATTCAGGACAAAACAGTCACAAATTTAGGCAGATGTAGTGCGCCACCTTCACCCTCCTCCTACGTTTTTACGCATACGAATAAAAAAGATGCACCACCACCATCATCATCCGCAGGCACGTGAAAGGAGGTAAACAAAGGGCTGCTCTCACGTCGTGTCTCTGCCTGTGTGTGTTTGAATCGTTTTCGACGGATTCTCCGGCTGCCTCTCTCCTCCTCTCTCCTCCTCCTCCTCCTCCTCCTCCTCTGCAGCTGAGGTCTTTGATTTGCATCACTCTGACACACGCACTTCACCAATGAGCTCAAAGTGAAGCAAGGAACTAAAACGGCTTCAAAATATCACAGCTGTTGATGAGGTGGATAGAAAGGGTTCATGTTGTCTTTTTGTGCCAGCTGCGCCAAAACTGGAACAAATTCACCTACAAAATCCTTGTGCCAGCTGCGCCAAAACTGGAACATATTCACCAAAAAAATCATTCATCACTTGATATATTTAGTATAATATGATATTCCTTTAATTTGCAGTTTATGACTTTCATAATATAGTACATCATTATCGTTTTATGCCTTTCCTACAAAAAACTGAAGCAGCCTTATTTTCATTTACACACACGTTTGTCTTTCTAGAGTTGTGAAGACACCCACTGACACCATGCAATACCTAGACCCGTGCCCTGCTTTAAAATGCATATCAGAGAGCCTGTAACGGTAAGGTCAAATGTCTTGGTAAAGGGCAGTACACAAACTGATTAAAACGATGATATATATGTTCACGCATTGTTTGAAAGAAAGGAGTGCGTTTAAAAAGAGAGTCAGAAGATGAATTCAACCTTTTCATCAGTTAAAGCTCCAAAACGGGTCTCAGTTGGGTTTTCAGTGTGTTTGTAAAATGTGAAAACCAGTAACGCAGTTTTAGTAGTGAGAAACTGCAGCTCCTTAAGGTGGACTGGATAGTCCAGCAGTTTTACTGTGCGCATGACCCGGACGTACCACCAGATGGCGCCAAGTACCTGCTCCTAACAAGTAACATTTTATCACATATACAGTATTTGTCATTATTTTATTCGTTAATAACAAGAATTATTTTTTCACATTAAGTAAAAATACCACAAACCTCATTTACATCAAACTGTGACTGTTGTCATAATAGTAATCTCTACCACCACAGGGTGCGTAGGAAAGCTGCCTCCATCCTCAAGGACCCCATTCACCCCAGTTTGCACATGCATAATTGCACACTCACTGCTGAATATTTGCACACACAGTGGCATGTACCATACATTCTCTCTGCATTATGTTGTGTTCTTGTATTTTTATTATGCTTTTTTCACTTGCTGCTTTAAAGTGCCTTAGATTTAGATTTTACTGTCTATTTAGATTTGTGTTATTGCTCATCTACTTTATATTTCACTTGTATTATGTGGCATTCATGTGGATGGCAAAGTAAGAATTTCATTGTACAAGGAAACAGGTTTCCTCACTGTGCATATGACAACACTTTGACCTTTGACCTCTGTTACAGGTTGTACTCATATTAAATGCTTAATGAAGCTAAATGAGCCGTATTGCATCAAGGATAATACCAAGAAGTTAAAAATGGGCACAAGGTCAACGTGTACCTGTGCAGTTTAACAGCAGGCCTGTACTACCATTCATTAAAGCATTTACAGCAGCAGATCAGGGCTGGCAGGGGCACAACACTAAACTGACTATTGTGTCTAGAACATCTGATCCTGTTTGGAAATCAAATTAACTAAAGAAATAAATAGAGACAATGGCTGCAAATGAGCACATGCATACACTGAAAAGCTGCAGTTTGTTTCTGGGGATATATTTTGGTTTGCTGAGATGCTGATTGGGAGTGTCTGGGCAAACTACTTCCTGCAGCTTCGTGTGTGTGTGTGTGTGTTAACAGTCATTACATTATACTAATCACCCTACCGTTCACACTGTTTCACTATCAGACAGAGCTGGAAAGAGGATGGAGGTGCTGCTGCAGCTGATCAATAGATGACCCACAGAGATAACAGCAGCTGAAAGCCTGCAGCGAGAGGAGGCCCTCACCTGCTCTGACAGCTCCAGGTGACAATGAGGCTACAGCTGGAGTGTCAGTGGCAATCTGACTGAAAGACAGGAGTGATGAAGACACAATAGGGGTGTTGCACACATATATGACTGTGAGTAAGGTCGTGTAGTTTTATACCGATCTAAAGAGGTGGCAATGAAAACAGCCTTGGCTAAAAGAGAGAAGATAATAAAATGTTTCCTTTCACTGTGTTTTTTCATGGTTTGTCTCTTTGTATTTTAGTAGGCTTTTATCTTCTTTTACAATTTGTCAAACATTCTCATTTTGCATGTATAACATTTTTGTAGTCATTTTTAATCTACAGCAGTGGAGAGACACATACCTGTGTGTGACCTCCTCTGTACCAGTTAGGTGCCATCGATGCACCTACATCCAATATCAGACGCACTACTTGAAGTGCAATTCTGAATTTGATTGGTCCAAAGGGACAAGACCATATATTGCCTCAAGAGGAAAAGCACAGGTGCAATTAATTATAATTACTACTTCTTCAAGACTGATTCCCTTTTCTATAGGTGAATTTACACTACTCTTGAAGAGGTTGTACAAAATATACATCGAGGTGATGATGAATTAAAGAGCAGAGGTACAGAAACTCAGACACAGAACGACTTTTATCTCTGATCATGTAAAGGCTTTCTGGCTTGAACTCATTTGTTTCAGTGCGTTATTACAATACTGCAGCGATAGTTGTACCACATCCTGACAAAATGAAAAGGATGGGATTTGTGTTGTTTCCCAAAAGGGGCATCCTTTTTTCACATGGCTGATTACAGGCACGAGCACGGAGAGGTTCCAGTTCATTGCACCAACCATTTCGTGCATATGGAGCAAACCACACTCTAACCGAGATACAATGGGCGTTACCCCCCCGGTTACGTGCACTCCATCTAAAGTGTGCCATGCTGGTTGAATCACTCAGGAGTAAATCACCTTCAGCGGTTCTGGATTCACGTCCAACTGCAAACCCTCCTCTTTTTCGCTGGGAGAGAGATGGGAGAGGAAGAAGAGCAGGAGGGGGCGGTGTCTCCAACCAGGAAGGATGCTGTATAGTGAGTAACGGGGGGGGGAGGGTGCAGCTCTGTACTACTACGTCAGTAGACATCACAGGGGCACGCAGGACCGTTTTGTTTCAAGTACTCGGGGTGACTCCCTGCACAGAAAAGGCGAATCCTGGTCACCCTAAACGTGCCCACCACCACCCCATCAAAAGGTAAGTAAAAGCATGTTCATTTTGATTAATTATTTTCCCAAATTTCCTTATCTGAGTCCCTTGGCAACCATGCATACAGGAGAGGAATGACATTTAGGACGATGTCCGTGTGTTTATGAAATACTTATCACTAAGATGAGTTTATAGCCTTGTGGTGCGCAACGCAACAGTCCCCAAACCTGTGCCCAGGGGGCATCAATGCATAAGTCGAATTATGGGTGAGAAATATAGCTTATTAATTATAAATGTTACAACCTGGCGGGATTAAAAGATTCATAACGTGGGCTTTGGCGAAATGCGCCCTACTGGGAGGTCTTGTGCGTTAAGCGCGACCACCCTAATCCATCTCAGTGTAGAGGATTCACTCTGACGAGGAGGCAGAGAGGAAGGGTAGGAGGTTACGAGGGTTATGTTTTAATGTCATCAAAATATGATCAACATCGACACGGCTTTGTATTTTCCCGGTGGTTTTGGCACCGATGTCCTTGCTTCTCCTCGTCGTTTGTAACGCCTTTCTCTTCATTACACAGTCATAAATTGGTAGCTCGTTCTTAACCGGACTTTCTCTCAGATTATAAAAAGTTTTCCTGTCTATGTGCTGTTTATATTTGATTTGTAAAATGTCAGGGCTACCGTAAAATTGCCAGTGTAGCGCAGGTTTTCTGTCCTGCGTCGTGCGCCAAAATGACCTTGTAGGAGCCCAGCGGGTGGGAGAATGTGACTGAGAGAGAGTGATGAGCAGTTTTTCAGCTTTCCTCTGTGATGTTGCTTTGCGGTGGTTTTTGTCAGTGGTGCTGAAACGACTTGTCCCTGAGAGGGACGTTGTTTGACACGCGTTTATGTCCTTTTGAATGTTTTCACCTCTGGTCTGAAGGAGGACGCTGGCTTAGAAAATGAATTTGTGATCTATTCTTTGTTTGAGGGTGAGGCATTTTACAACTATGCATGTCTGACGCCTTGTCCCTGTGGCAGCCATCACTGCAGCTCAGTCAATTTCTCAGCTATTTATGCATCCAACCCACATGAGGGGTGGCAGAGAGGAAAGCAGGGAGCAAAACTGCAGGTTACTGACAGTCCCCATTTAGTATTATTTATAGTTTGTGACAGTAAAACTTAAAGCTTGATACAGTCTCATGTATCCGGCTACAACAAGAGAATGGGCTGTTTTTACCTTACATAGTTTGTAGCAATCAAAAGCATATTGTATTTTGCTTTTGGCTTTAAATGTCTGATGCATTTGACACCCAAAGATCACCCATCCATTTGTCCAAACTCACTTTTCTGTATTTGTGTAATGGGAATACAGTGTGAGCTGTGTTTGCATCCACCAGTCTATTTGCTCCACCTGTGCTAGTGATTGTTTGGAAGTGTTCAGTATGAATCCTAGTTGTTGTCATTCAGCATACGATACGTAAGGCTGTAATTAAGATGTTTGCTCCAACTTTGCAGTGGTTCACTGACTGACAAAGCCTTCTGGAAATCAAATATTATGTCTGAAATATTGCTGCCATAATGATTAATTGATTCACTGGATAATCAGACTATTTTTATAATTGATACATTTTATAATACAAAATTTCAAGCACAAAATACCAAATATTTTCTGACCACAGCTTCTTAAATCAGTTAAATGAGGAAAAATGTGCACATTAATCTATCATGAAAGTTATTGTTAGTTGGAGCCTTCAGGCTTGTGGTGTTACTGACAATGTGTCCACACTTTTGTGCAGTCTGTAGCTAAAAATGGAAAAGAATTACTTCATGCGTTAAGCTGTCGCTTGCCATCACTCAGCAGACAAAGGCACAAGGGCTTTACTTCAGTGGTGCAGGTGAAGCTAACGTACCCATTCACACAGGAGCTCCACTTGAAACCAGGAGCAGCTCAGGGAGCAGTTCTCGTTTTCTGCCTGCCACCCCTACTGACTGGGCCGCACTGTGTCTGTTCGCCCGCAGAGATTAGCCCTGTCACAAGTTACAACTCGCCTCTCCCTGCAGCTGGGAGCAGTGCTGCGGGGTGCATTAGCATATCAGCTAAAATAAGAGGCAGTAGCACAGTAGAGCACCGCTCGACCCACCCCATCAGGGGGTTGTCAAGATCAGCAATTAGCACAGCTGTTTCAACATTTCCAGCAGTGCTTCAAGGAAATGCTGGTTCATTTGTACTGCACCATTTTATAGACTGATCTGTTTTTGGCTGCTGCTGAAACAATGTCTCTGCTAAAGATTTACTGTGGGCCTGAGAGACAATCAATGGCCTTTCCCCCGTCTCCAGATGGGAGGTTTGAGGCAGCAGCTAATGTCAAGCACATTTTTCTCCATTAGTAGCTGTCAGTGTATTTGCTTCTTACAACCTCCTTGAGGTGTCTACTGTGTGATGCTTTTATAAACAAATGCCAGAGTAACGTAGCCAATGCAGTTAACTATGTAGAAATGTAAGAAAAAAGTCATCTTTCTGTATTTTGTTGTACACAATCTGACAAATACAGAGATGGAGTGAAAAACTGAATTATTTACTTAAATTTAAATTGGTCTTTAAATAAAATTCTACATTTACTAGTTCTAGCAGGTAGAGATAGTTTAATATTTTGGGAAATATGTTTATATCACTCACTAACGAGCTGTAGTCAGAAGGCTCTGCTCTTAGCTTAGCATAGAAACTGCAAGCACAGCCCAGAAATCCCTGTAAAACCACATCTTGACTTTTTCACATGCCTGTTCAAATGCTGGTAGGTGTTGGACAGGTTAGCTGTTTCCATTGCCAGATTATATGCTAGGCTAAGATAATCACGTGCCTTCAGCTCCATGCTTCACATACAGGTGTGAGACTGTGTGAGATATGTACTTTCTCAGAACATTGTCTCTGTTTTCTTTGCAATTACTGTGGTACCTACTTACTGTACAAAGTCCTTTAAAAAGATCTAGTAGATTATTAAGCCCTGTGACAGACTTGCAACCTGTCCAGGGTGTACCTCAACTCTCACCCAGTGTCAGATGGGATTGGCTCCAGCTCCCCTGCAACCATCTTCAGGATAAAATGTGTAGATAATGGATGGATAGTAGATTGTAAAGAAATTATTGAACCTGTAAAATAAAGCATCTCTTCTTCTTCAGTTTGTTACATTGAACTTGACCCAGTAATGAGGTGAAACACACCACAGCTCCATCAGAAACACAAATAGCTTTGATGCACAGCTTGAAGCGACAACAGTTTAATTCACACAACCATAAAACACACCACACCCATTCACTGACAGAACAGCTGCAGCATCTTCAGGGTGCAATGGAAATGATATTTGTACAGTGACTTTGGCCTTAAATGTCTTTGTAATTTCCTTCTGTAATCCCTGCAGCATTTTCTTGCGTGTCTTGGAAGAATGTAGTCCTTTCTTGGAAGTAGTGGCATTGTTGTACAGTCCATAACTGAGTATCACACAGAACATTTGAACACAACTTTTGTCCTCTTGGCCTTTTTTCACAGTGGTGTTGCATTTTTGTTCAGTTGTTCCTCCCTTTGGGTCCAGACTGAAATAGCTCAATATTATGAACAGGTGCTCATGGTTCTCAGATGATGCTTTTAGTGATCCCCTGACTTTTCGGTCGGGGCCACCATGAGGTTAACACTGTGAATGAAGTGGCTCGACAGCTATTTCTTGGATTACTGTGATATTTGGTGCACACATTCGTGTTTGTTTCAGGATGAATCGATCCATTAACTTTTCAGCTTGTCTCATCTGGTAAGAATTTGAATGCATCCAAAATGTTGGTTGTTGACCAAATACTTGCAGCCTCAGCTGTGCTTTATGTTTAGTGCTAACTGGCAAACGGTAGCATGTCAAACTAAGATGATGAACATGATAAATATTAAACCTGCTAAACATCAGCATGTGAGCCTGTAAACATGTTGGTATTTATCTCACAGCTGTGCTCACAGCCTCAGAGCTACTAGCATGATGTCATCTCTGTTTTGTTTGTCTCAAAGCAGATAAAATTACTCCTCTGATATGTTTTTTACAGTGTGCTTCATTACACAAGGTTGTTGTGTTGGTTAATTTGTGACATTTTTATTTGAATACAGTCTGGTTCATAAATATTAGCAGGTCAGTCATTTTCTAACACATTCAGTTAAAGAAGGACATTTTGAGATGGCTGCAGCTCTCAACACAATTAGCTTGAAGCGACATTTCACTGGTGCTGAGTGCCAGTGAGCTAAACAAAGGGAAATGAGACTAATGTGAGCTGTCGTGATGAACACATGTTGAGCACACAGCTGTATTGTGGTGCTGCACCTCTCAGCTGCCCTCACTCTGCAGTGAGCGAAGCCAAAATGGATGCAGATAGCTGACGTCACTGTGTTTGACATGGTGTTGCTAGCCATCTTGGTGCCACCAGGGTGACAGTGCACACAGAGCTTGAGCTGGGGAACAGTGTCACGACTCATGTTAGGCTGCAGATTCCCCCAAAGGGGACTTGTGTACTGTGAGTACAACCCAGTGTCGGGGTGGTGCAATGGCCCAGTAAGCCTAACAACCATCACACCGTCCTCTCAGCCTGCCGTTACATCCTGGATGGACCTGAAGCCACGCAGGAACATGTTGCACCTGAATAAAACTGTCACTCCCTGTGTGGCTCTGTGCCGATGTCACTCTGAGCATGAAGTGGGCTGAGGCTCTCTCCAAGCAGAGGTTGTTATTGCACTAATGCGTCACTGCTGTTGGATGAGTCGACTCTTGCGCCTCTGTCCCTGTGGCCAGAAAACAAAACATGAATCATTGATGGCTCCTTCACACGGCCTCAGCAGGACTCTCCCAGGAAGTTCAGACCACAGTCGCTGATAGAACAACTGTGGCGAAAGATGCTTGTGGATGGGTAGAATTCAGAGAGGCTTTGTTAGAGGCTTTGGCTGGGTCAGGCTGAGTGAAAGCCAGTATAAAATATATGCTGTGTGTTCCTCCACTTCACCTTGATGTCAAGAAATCGACCTACAGGGCATTTTGACAACT